CATGAAGCAAATTTGTATTTCATCAGCAAACACAGATGCAAACGAAAAGGAATCCAAAGGGGTAAATTTTCAATAGAATAATAATGTAAGATTCTCAGGAAACTTATTATAATTAATGGCAGTCAATGCTGTTTGTCCCTCCTCAGGTTGTTAAGGAGAATATTTTGTTGCAAATGACAAATGCTTCCCAAATGGTCAAGCTTGAAATGGACCCACACGCCGCATTTGCATTGATCATTGACGGGAAAACTCTAACTTATGCCCTGGAAAATGATATGAAGCACCATTTTTTGAACTTAGCAGTTGAGTGTGCGTCTGTTATTTGCTGCCGTGTCTCTCCAAAGCAGAAGGCCCTTGTAAGATTCCATCAATTTTAGAGGTTTCTCACTTAGAGTGTAGTATGCCACTATGCAAATGATTTTATTGGCTTTCATGTAGGTGACAAGGTTAGTAAAGGAAGGTACGGGAAAAACAACCTTAGCTATCGGTGACGGTGCAAATGATGTTGGAATGATTCAGGAAGCTGACATTGGTGTTGGAATCAGTGGGGCTGAAGGAATGCAGGTAGGTTACACAGATCTTATCCATTTCTTCTTTTAAACCTAAGTATTTTGCTGTTTTAGACAGCTTGGTTGTGGGAATAGATGTTATTTCTCGATATACTGCATGTACTATGGTTTTAAGAAGTGGAGAGATTTTTGAAAAGAGCCATCTGTTTTTGACACTAGAGCTTTACAATTTGAAGGAAACTACTATTTATGAATCATGCTCAAGTAATAATTTTTAACAGGCGGTGATGTCCAGTGACTTTGCTATTGCACAATTTTCATTTTTGGAGAGGCTTCTTGTTGTACACGGCCACTGGTGCTACAAACGGATCGCTCAGATGGTAAGTTACATTGTCTATGTTTTGGATTTAAACTCCAGTTTAGCAATGCTTTTTAAATTTGGTTGCATACTGCCTTACTCTAACATCCGATGTAATTCTCTCTCGGTCCAGATATGTTACTTCTTCTACAAAAACATTGCATTTGGCCTCACGCTCTTCTACTTTGAAGCATTCACCGGTTTCTCAGGGCAGTCAATATACCATGACTGGTATATGCTACTGTTCAATGTGGTTCTTACCTCCTTGCCTGTCATTTCGCTCGGAGTCTTTGAGCAGGACGTGTCATCTCAAGTCTGCTTACAGGTTTAGTTACTTAGCCCTTAAAAGTTACTCTCTCCATTCCACATTAGCCGTCTATGAACAGTTTCTTGATGCGTTAAAAAATGGATGAACGTAGATATAAAGTATCAAGAAAGTGTTAACAGACATTTAATATGGAATGGAGGGAGTAAAAGCTTGGTTGGAATGGCTGGACTTGTCGAAAACTTTAACTGTGATTGCCAATTGGCTTAAGTATCAAGTTTTGTTTAATGTCACGCATTTTGCAGTTCCCAGCACTGTATCAGCAAGGACCCAAAAACCTGTTCTTCGACTGGAACAGGATATTCGGGTGGATGGGAAACGGCGTCTACACCTCCCTTGTAGTATTCTTCCTCAACCTTGTCATCTTCTACGACCAAGCCTTCCGATCTGGAGGCCAGATCGCGGACATGACCGCCATGGGGACTGCCATGTTCACCAGCGTGATCTGGGCGGTCAACTGTCAGGTTGCCCTAACAATGAGCCACTTCACGTGGATCCAACACGTCCTCATTTGGGGCAGCATAATCTTTTGGTACATCTTGCTCTTAGTCTACGGCGAAATGTCCCCAACCATTTCCAAAGATGCTTACAAAATCCTCTCGGAGGCCTTGGCCCCTGCCCCTGTATACTGGTTCACCACTTTCCTGACAAGTATCATATGCAACCTTCCATACTTCGTCCACATTGCGTACCAGAGATCTTTCAACCCCATGGACCATCACATCATTCAAGAGATCAAATATTACAGGAAAGACGTTGAGGACCGGAACATGTGGAGAAGAGAACGGTCGAAAGCAAGGTCAAAGACCAAGATTGGGTTCACGGCCAGGGTGGACGCGAAGATTCGGCATTTGAAAGGGAAACTGCAGAAAAAGTATTCCGCCGTGGGATCACAGTTAGAAGTTCCGCGTAGTCATACGTAACTATAAATCTTTGATCATTCTTTTTTTCTTTGTTGTTGTTAGGGAGGGTTGAGCCACACCTGCAAATCTTGTAATCCAATTGTAATATTTGTTTTTTTGAGAGTGTATGGTGGGATCAACTCATTTAGTTCCTTCATTCTTTGGCAGCTAATCATATTGAAGATATTGTGTGTACAGTTCTTCTTCTATACAGAACGTCTTATACTGTTATACAACAAGAATACAATATTGAGAATTGAAGGGGGGCCAAAATAACAAAACAAGTGTGCACATTTACTAGTGTTTGTGTTGTGGGTGGTGTTGCCTTGTGATTGTACTCCCTTTCTCCCAATTTAAATTGCCTGTTTTGGTTTACGATGTTTGATTGAAATTGTTTTCGAATCATTTTATGTAAAAATGGTGTAGAAATTTTAAAATAAAAATTACATATTCAGAAAACCTACATTAAAAAATTTTCAAAATTAGTGGTGACATGATTATATTATTTTATCAAATGACTAACGAAAATAGGGGAAAAAAAAGTAAATAAAATTTGACTATGCGAATAATAAACAAGCAATTTAATTTGGGACTGAGAGAGCATAATTAAGCTCATTTTAAAATGTAATTTGATATACTCCGTATATATTAATGGGCAAGGTAGGTAAAATGTTGACCAAAAAGTCAACACTGAATAGAATTTTGGAGTGGAGGGGAGTATTTACTCCTCTCATACTCTAAAAAAATGAGATTGTTTGACTGAAATTTAGGAAAACTAATTATTTAGAATGTAGATGATCCATTCCATTACTTAAAACAAATAAAAGATCTTTGAATAGGAAAAAGAGTGGATCTGTAGGATCCCAAATGAATTCCTTCGCTCGTGTGTTGTATTGCATGGTTCCCCTCTCCGAATCATTCTCTTCATAGGAAACTCCCAGAAAGCCCCAAGGGCGCCAGAGTCTAGGAGTCCAAACTATGTGATTCAATAAATCCTCCTCGATCTGTTGCGGGCTTTCTTCAAACTCCGATTCATACAGAAATTGCTGATCAAGGATAGAAGAAGATCCCACCAGAGCGCTTTCCAATTCTAATAGGCCATGAACTAGATCAGAGTCATTCTCAACAAGTCCAGAGGAAGTAATCCCATTTTTTCCGGGTAAAGACCAAAGATCTTGAGCAACCGATCCGGCCGAACAACTCCGAGAAATTTACCTAAATAGGACTAAAACATAATGATTTTTCCAATATAGGACCATATGTTTTTATTTCTCAATGTAGGACTTTTGGTCATTATGAATTAGTCATTATTCAAGTAAATGTCCATCATTACTGGACATTATATCTCTCACTAGGTCATTATTAAGTCCTATTTAGGGAATAAAAAAGTTTAAGTCCTACATTATGAAAGTCATTATGTTTTAGTCCTATTTAATGCAAATTTCACATAAAAGATTTATTTTGAACAGGTAGGAGAGGAAAGTGAAAAATTAATTACCCTGGAGTATAGAGAATTGGTGGAGGCCTGATAGAATAAAATAAGCTGTCGAGTGAATTGATGCATGCATGCATGGGTATGGGAAAAATTATGTAGAATAATTTTAATAATACTTTTGATGTTCAAAAATACTTTCACTTTTTACTGTGATGCATAATAATCCAAATTTTATTGAAATTTGCGATTTTGGATCGCTGTTAAGTTCCTAACGGTGGGTTAAGGGAAACGTCTAATTTACGCAACAAAATGAAAAGTTAGATTATTTTTGATAGCCAGTTGGAATTATTCTGGATAACTTTTTTCTTATTTGGACTTACTTTTATATTAGGGAAAGTCAGTATTTCGTTGATTAATTTATGGAGTACTTTAATATACTCTTGGTTGAAACAAATCACTTTATATTTGAGTAAAATGCTTACAAGATCCTTGTATTTTTTCAAGTTCACATACTTTCTAACGGGTTCTTTATGTTAATTTTTCTCTCTTTATTTTTAGAAAAGAATGTACTCAACTACTCCGTATTTATATACTCCTTCCGTCTCTAAATAAACTTCTTTTTTTGACTTTTTGAGGATTTAAGGGAGAGAGATTTTTGTGTTGACTTTCCAAAAATACCTTTGATGTGATATGTAGATTATTACTCTCTCCGTCCCAAAAAGTCTTTCATGTTTCATTTTTGCGCATCTCATAAAACACTTCTAACGACATCTAAAATGCCTAAAATTTACAAAATTTCTTCTTTATTATGGGTAGAAGTTATTTTGAAAGTTTTTTTGGCAATCAAGACGGGATAGAAGTGTTTTATGGGATGCGCAAAAAATGAAACAGGAAAGACTTTTTGGGACGGAGGGAGTAGTAAAAAAGTATGATGTGATAGGTAGGGTATGAAAAAGTAAGGGGTTTTGAAGGGAAAAGATCGGAGAAGTTTATTTGGGAACAAAGAAAAAACGAAAGGAAAAGTTTATTTAGGGACGGAAGGAGTATGAAAAATGTCTATATTTCTTTTGGATTTATTAGTACGTATTATACGTATATATATTTATATTCAATTTCTTATTATTATATTTCAAAAAAAATCTTAAATGGGTAAAATTATATATATGATGAAGAAGGTATACATTTCCATCGCTCCTACTCTTTGATCCATCCTTCTTGCGGGTAAGAATTAATTTTAATTGATTTACATTTTAAGTTTTGTTCTTTAAAATCCTAATTATTGTTTCGTCTCCAATTTCATAACCATGCATAGATTGTTTTTCATTAACAGGTAGATGAGATCGAATTTGCTAATGCATGATATATGATATAATATGTTTTTCTTAAGGCATGCATGATGATATAATATTAATAAAAATGTATTTGTACAGATATTACAGAACATAATAATACATTCTAAAATCACCTCTCAAAAGATCTAATGATAGGTTAAATAGATTCAATGTATTTTTCATACAAAATTTTTAAAATTTGACCATAAAAATCAAACATGGAATAGTAGACGTACAATCAAATCTGATAGAGATAATGGAAGGCGACGGAGCCCGAGGAAAAGGTGGCGGAGGAGGAGGAGGAGGAGGAAAGGTTACCGGCATCCGACATATTGTGAGGTTGAAAGAGATTCTGCAGAAGTGGCACAATGTCACGTTGGGGCATAAGGTGGCGGCGGCCAAGAGAGAAGGACGTCCATTGTTGGCTCCTCCTCCCCCACCGCCGCCCCCAGCCCTATGTAGCGGGGGAATTTCCCCCGCCATATGCAAGAGGTTGATGATGGCCGGCGGGAGCTCGCAGTGGGACTCGGACGAGGAGAGTTGTGCGAGTCCCGACCCGCCGACCGGCATCCCGAGAGGGTACTTGGGGGTGTACGTGGGCCCCGAGCAGCGGCGGTTCATCATCCCGACGAGCTACCTCGGGGACCCGCTGTTCAAGGTGTTGCTGGAGAAGGTGGAGGAGGAGTTCGGGTTCGATCACGGCGGCGCTCTCACCATTCCCTGTGAGACGGAGACCTTCAAGTATCTCCTCAAATGCATGGAGAATCACGAGAGGGAACAGCAACTTGTCCATTCCCAACAGCACCCCGGCAGCTGCAGCGGCGACGCCGCCCCCAGCCACACCGGTAACTAAATAATTATTCCCTCCTGCCTGATACGGAGTGTATAGAAACAAATTCTCTTTTACTTAAACAAGTTTTAAGGAATATTCGTTTTGTACCTTTCAACACTTCTTTGAATTTCTTAAAATCAAAGTATAATTTCATTTTGAAAGGGAGATAATGCATTGTATAAAGGTTGGAGTGTTGTGATTTTTCATATTTAATTTTGACTTTTTATAATCAAAATTGATGAATTTTTACCATTTATTAAAAAAATTATACTCCCTCCGTTCTCAAAAACACTTCCTCTTTCATTTTTTCACTTCTAACAAAACACTTCCACTTTCTATTAAAAACCACTTTTACCCTTATTTTTTTCATACCCTACCTATCACATTATACTTTTTCTCTAATAATCTATTCATCACATCTTACTTTTACCCATCACATCAGGAGCAAAATTGGAAGTCAACCAAAATTTAACACTTCCTTATTTTGGCTCCAAGTCAAAGTACGAACTTTTTTTGCAAACGGAGGGAGTATTAGATTTTAATATAAAATTGTTTTATTAGAATTATTTTGCACGATATTTTCATAATATTGTTTTGAATTGGCTAAATTTCACCGTTGGTCCTTCAACTTTGAAAATTCCATGAAAAGCTCTTCAAGTCATGTTAACGATTCCTGATTGGTCCTTCAACTTTGAAAATTTTATGAATAGTCTTTCAAGTTACGTTAGCGTTGCATGGTCTTTCCATTATTTTTGTCGTGAGTCCATGCATTTTTTTATATTTTTTCAATTTTAAATACACGTGAGAAACTTTTTCTTCTTCATATAATTGAATCATACTCCGTATTTAATATAGGTCTATTTTTAATATTAATAGATATTCTTGCTTTAATTACTCCAATTTTTTACATAAAATAAGTTACTTTTGCTTTTATTAGTTTATGTTTATTAAATTAATATCACTCCGCCTTAAAGTTTTTATCAAATTTTGGATTTCTATAGTCAAGTAGGTTTAATTTTTTTACCAATATTTCAATTAAAATAAATCTACAAAAAGTATGGCTCAAATCTATGAAAAAGAATATTCCTCACTTGTATTTATAATGAAAAATGAAAAACAATGCATGTGGAATAGCAACAAAATTAACAGAAATTTGAAGGACTATCCGTAGAATTTTTTATGTTCAAGGACTAACTATGCAATTTTAACATGACTTGAAAAACTATTAGTAGAATTTTCAAAGTTGAAGAATTAATCGTGTATAATACAATAACTTGAATGATCAATAATGAAATTTACCTTATTGTTTTATCTAATTAAAGAGTTGTGATTCCACAATTCTAAGGCCCACAAGTGAAATGTTGACTTCCTAAACTTTTAGTGGGCCAAATATGTGGATATTTAATTTTTTCACAGAGCCCGATTCAACCATCGTGTGTATAAACTAAGATCCGTAAAATAAATGTGGACCTTATGATCACGGAAGAAAAATACTCCCTTCGTCCTCAAACTTTCTTTCTGTTGCGCAAAACGAAGAAAAATCCCAAGTTTTTTCAATCTATTTTATTTAAATATTGGTATAGAAATAAAAAATAAAACATACATATTTAAAAACTACATCAAAAGTTCAACAAAACAAGCACTGACAAGAATATTTTATTTTATCATATAGGTCATGAAAAAACACAAATAAATATAAATTCTCGTGAAATTGGAATAGTGCTCTGGAAAGAAAGTTTTAGGACGGAGGGAGTAGATAAAAACTCTAAGAAGGAAGGAATTATTACATATTCTTAATATTGTTTGATGAGTAATGTTTTAGTGTTAACCAAATAATAGGTTGAAAATGTAGGATTATATATTACATTGTAATAGAATTATAAGTGTTTTTTGAGTACTATTGACTATATTATAATGTACTATTTGTTTATATTTTTCTCAAACCTAATAAGAAACCAACGTCTCTGATTCTTCCGCTGGGAGACGTATATTGATATCTTCGTTTTCAATATGTGAGTACAATGGGTTTGTAAAAAAAGTGAGTCCAATGGGTTTGTAAAAAAAAGTGAGTCCAATGGGTTTGTAAAAAAAAGTGAGTCCAATGGTACTCACTCCTCTCTAGTGATTAACCTTGATCCAACCACAAAATATAATCACTTTCACCTTTTTTTATACATCTCACAAAATACTTTTTCTCTCATTTAAAATATCTAAAATATAGTATATTTCTTCTTTATTGTGGGTAGAATTTACTCCCACCGTTTTTTAAAACCTTTCCTCTTTCATTTTTTTGTTTTCCTTAAAACACTTCCTTTCTCTATTAAAAAACTACTTTTATCCCTACTTTTTCATACCATACCTATCACATCATACTTTTTCACTAATAACTAAACTATCACATCTTACTTTTATCCATCCCATCAGGAGTAAATTGGAAAGTCAACTAAAATTATACTTTCTTTATTTTGCACCAAAGTCAAAACATGAATCGTTTTAAGAAACGGATGGAGTATTTTAGAGATATTTTAAACATTTTAGATAAGATAAAAATATTTTGTGAAATGTGCAAAAATGGAGGTGAATTTATATACTCCCTCCGTCCCAAAAAGAATGGGACGGTTTGACTTTTTGGAAAATTAAAAAAAGGATATTTTGGTATTGACTTTCCAAAAATACCCTTGATGTGATGGGTAAAAGTAGGATGTGATGGGTAGATTATTAGACTAAAGGTATGATGTGATATGTAGGGTATGAAAAAGTAAGGGGTAAAAGTGGTTTTTTAATAGAAATGTAACGGACTTTACGGGACGCAGTTTTTTCTAAACGTAACAAACTTTTTGGGACGGCATATTTTTAAAACGGATGGAGTATGAGAATCTATTCGAATATTTAAATGAGTCATACACATTATATTTAGTGCATACCGTTATTATTATTATATACACTTCCTCCGTCTTAAAAAGAATTTTTTAAATGACCTTTTCAAATTTTTTATTGAGAGTTAAAAGATGTGGAAGTTTAATTAGTACATTATCTTTGATTAAAGAGGGTGGGTGTGGAGTATTAGGTAGCGTGCAATAAATAAAGAAAGTGAGATTTTTTGTGATTTTCAAAGAGTAAATTTTATAATTGGTTCTTTATAATTTCCATATTTAGTCCTCTATTATCAAATATTACCCTCATAGTCCTTTTCTTAAGGGTGCCTTTCCACAAATGATTCTTTTTTTATCTTCTGCCATGTGAGTGTTAATTTAAAGGCTAAAAGTATAATTTGACATCAACATTATGTCTAGTGACGTGTTCTGATATTGGTTAAGCAGATAACACAAAAATAATGACTATGATTGTGGGCTAGGATTCCGACGAAAGACTACATTTGTAGACTATGGTTATAGTAGAAAGCGAATGTAATTCACAAACGACGCAAACGGAACAACTTTTGGAATTGTGTATGATAAAAAAGATATATTATCATTGTGAAATTATACTTTTAGCCCTCAAATTAATTCCCAAATGATAGAAGATCAAAAAAAGACTATTTGTGGAAAGATAACCATAAAAGAAGGACAACTGGAAAAATAAACGCTTCCTATTTGCAACACACACACACACATAATTTATTTTTGTACCGATTGCATGCTCTTCATTTTTCACACATGATATTTTTTTGAGTAAATTCTATAAAAGGCCCCTATTTATAGGTCGTTTTCCATATTTAGTCTCCACATATCAGATACGGAGTATTAATTATTTAGTCTCAATTATTATATTATTTTTTACGAATCTGTTAACATTCTCGTTAAGAAAATCGATAAAATTATATGCCCACACTGCTCTCTCTCTCTTCAATTAAGCTTTCTCGTTTCCCTTGTACTCCTTCTCAAACTTATAGTTGATTTTGAAGCTCTGAAATCAAAACTGAAACCTTCTCTAGCTCCTCTCTCAATTATTTTTAGTCTCCAAAAATTACAAAGAAAACAAACTTTGAAACTCGTCCATGAAGGTTAATGGTACGATTTCAATTTTGAGTTCTACCAAGAAGACGAACAATTGAGAGAGGAGTTAGTGATGGTTTCAGTTTTGGGTTCAGAGGTTCAAACTCAATGATGGGTTTGGGAAGGATTATGAGAGGACGGAGGAAGCTTAATAGAGGAGAGAAACGAGTGTGAATTTACAATTGTATCCATGTTATTAACGAGAATGTTAACAGAGAATCATTCATAGAAAACAATATAATTATTGGAGACTAAATTATTGATATTTGATATTTGATGACTTAATATAAAAATCGACTTATAACTAGAGGCCATTTATAAAATTTACTCTTTTTTTATTTTATGTTTTCCTTTTAATTTGTTTCCTCAGACCCGCCCAGCTTGAAAATCAATAAGTATTTATATATAATTGATATGTGCGAAGCTTCGTTTGCATGAAAATGAAGAACATGTATGCATGCACGTGTTTCCACATTCATCAACATACAATAATTATTAATATATCTGATCTGCTTGCTATATAGTATCAGCTAGCCCAGATTTAATTATATTGTATCCATTATATTGGTCATATATCGATTGTGACACCATTTTAATTAGCTTCAAATTAAATATCATGTTCCTGTCTACTTACTAATATGACATCAACCACAAATACTCCTTCCGTCCCAAAAAGTTTGTTACGTTTAGAAAAAATTCCGTCCCAAAAAGTCCGTTACATTTCTATTAAAAAACTACTTTTACCCCTTACTTTTTCATACCCTACCTATCACATCATACCTTTATTCTAATAATCTACTCATCACATCAAGGGTATTTTTGGAAGGCAATACCAAAATATCTCTCCCTTAATTTTCCAAAAAGTCAAACCGTCCCATTCTTTTTGGGACGGAGGGAGTATTATTTATTTTTTAAAAAAAAAACCTAATGGATTTATATATGTGAAATATATTCTTAACATGATATGTAAGGTTGTCTTAAAAAAAATTAAGTTCTATTTCAATTCATCCGTCCCAAAGTGACTTGCATTTTACTATTTGAGCTTCTCGATAACTTTTTTTCTTTATTCATTTTCATCGATCGTTTGGTAAAATAAAATAACTTGTCACCGTTATTTTAATTTGTACTCCCTCAATTCACCAAAAACATTTCATCTTTCATTTTTTTCTCTACCACTAAAACACATATACTCCCTACTGGTA